ACAACTCGCTGGTAGAATACAGCCTGTACTGACTTCAGATTTGCATGATTAAAGTCTCCAGCACAAACCACTGCCCATCCTAGTGTGTTTGCCGCACTGCTACTTTCTAGCACACAATTTTTTGCTGCGTTCTCATTCCTGGCCGGTGTCACACAGTCCTAACCGAGACCCGCGTAGTAGACCAAAGACGTGCGTCACCTACAACAGTCCAAAAACGTAGACATTCTGTACTTATGCCTGAATGTACAGCAAAAAGAACAGTTTAGCAATTATTGACTTGTGTCTTTAGCTTAACTGACATTAGCTCAGCTGCATGCAAATTAAGAAACAAAATGTCACTTTCATTTATGCTCATTTCTAATTTCACTGCAGACTTTGGTGCCCTCCAGGGGCGGTGATCCGATGGACCTCATCTCTTTGGTGAAGGGTTGGTTAGGACGTGTGTGTCAGCTATTGGGAACTAAGCCTCAGAGGGTGCGCGAAGGAGAGCTTGCTGCTTTCCTGTCCTATGCCATTGCATATCCCCACAACTTTCTGCCTGTGATTGACAGCTACAGTGTCAGCTGGTAACACATCACTCGGTTTCTCAGAGTAACATGGTTTATCAGGATGGGATAACAAGAATATGAAATGTGTGCATATGTTGTTATTGCAGCAGTGGGTTGCTGTGTTTCTGTGCTGTTGCTCTGGCTCTATGTGAATTGCAGTATCAGCCTCTGGGAGTAAGGCTAGACAGTGGAGACCTCTGCAGGCAGTCTGTGGAAGTGCGCCGTGTCTTCAGAGAGTGCAGCAACCAGTCAGTAACAGCCGCATGCCCTCTGCTTCCCTGAAATACTTCAGTTATCTACAGGTCTGTGTTAATTGATGCATTCTCTCTGCATTCCTGTAGTTTTGCTGTCCCTGCATTTGAGTCTTTCATCATTGTCGGTACTAACAACATGTCTGAACAGGGTCTTGTTGAGCTCAACAAAAGAGTAAGTGATTTTTTTAGGGCTTCTCCATAAAGCATTAATTGTAAATTACAGCTCAGTCGTTAATTAAATTGTGCTATCTTCATAAATGCTTCTCTCTGTTTCTCTCAGGATAATGAGATTGATGCAGTGGGAGTTGGAACTCACCTCGTTACCTGCACAAGTCATCCCTCCCTTGGCTGTGTATATAAGGTAACCAAGGCAAATGGCTATCACTTATTATGAGACAATTCCAGATCCTCTATGTATTCTGTTATTAATCTTGAGGCTCGTTATTCAGTAGCTATGGATTATGCAGCAACTACGACACAAGGGCTACACAAATTATTGTTTGTTAATCATTATCACGATATTTGCACTAGTAGTACTGACATACAAAAGTAAACGAACGAGCCCTATAATAGGTAACTTTTATTGTAAAAGGGAGAAACATCACAAAATCTCTGGGTGTTTGATGAATTCTGAAGACTCATGCGTACATTATCGTTTCTTTTCTTAGTTGGTAGAGGTCAGAGGTTGTCCCAGGATGAAGCTGAGTGAGGATCCAGAGAAGAGCACGCTGCCAGGCAGAAAGGCCATCTACAGACTGCTCGACACCGAGGGTCTGGCATAATTTCCTCTTCACGCTGCTGCAGCCATCCCTAAGCGCCTTTGCCAGTTTAACAATAAAAGAATATATAGTTACAGAATATGGACATACCGTATTCTGTAACTATATATTCAGCTATGATACGCCTTCAGTCTATTAGTTTTATCTAAGATTGCATTCAGAATGATTGTAGTGGTCTGCCATGAGTTTTTGCCAAGCATTGCTGGATATAAACGTTGAACGTAATGTTTTTATGAGTCTGTTATATTGCTACTGTTAGAACTTAGCACTATCACCTTCTGTTATGGTTGCGCTACTACAACAAAAAAGACTAACTTGTGCCTTTTTTCCCTTTGGGTGGAGAGCTACGATACAGTTAAAAACCCATGATTTTGCATTTTGTCCTCGTTTCCGCTGCCAAGTGAATCATGCTGTACCGGAGTCACCATGCTGAATTTATCCATCTTGCTAGTGTGCCATTCAGAGATGTATAGGTGAAGTTAGAAATATTGCAGGCCACTAAATGGACAAATGCAGTTGTCAAAGAATCGTCATACACCATCAGTCAAGTCAGTTGACAGCCACTTCTTGAAACGTGAACAAGCCAGAACAAAACTAAATTCTAAATTAAAGGTAAATCGGAAGAATATCCATTATTGCTACTGTATTTTTTATGTGTTTACTGTTACTGTTAACACTGGCGTCACCTGAGAAATCATGTTACCACAACAAAGTCTCCTCAGAACCCCTCCTGACACCACCGTTGTGCGATAGGAAACAGACACAGGTACTTGACTGGTGTGCAAATAGTTCTGGGTTTGAATTAGTAACCATACCATGCTGTACTGTACTGCCTGGTGGAAAAATGCCATTAACAGCTGTTAACACTGCTATGCTAAAACTTAAGCCTTGAAGCTCTCAAGGACACAGGGCATTCTCTTCTCAGAGAAAACCTATTACTTTTGGGTTTCCATCATTTGTTTTCATTTGAAATGTTACCTAAATATTTTTTTACATGTAATACATAAAATAATTACTTTGACTATATTATGCAGCCACGATGAACGGACTGCCCACATGCACATGCTTTTGGATCACTGCTCAAGTCAGTCACACTCATTCTTTTCCACTCTTTGTGCTACTACCCACAGGTCATCCTCAAATGGATCTAATTTGCCTGTCAGAAGAACCTGCTCCTAAAGTGGGTGTGTCACTGAATTGTTACCCTTTAGGGCTGGACAAGGGTGTCCAGTCAGTCACACCTGCCCAGGTGACAAGCCTACGATCAGATGTCTTCTCCCATGGTGAGGTAAACACTCATTTCACTAACTGATTATGTGAACGTTAAGCTAGGGATGTCCAGTCCTAGCTATAAAGGGCCAGTGTGACTGCAGGTTTTCATTTCAAACAAGCAAGAACGCACCTAATTCTTCTTGTTAATTCAGTTGGTCTCTGTCTTCAAATGATTAATCAGATAGGAAATGGAAAACTGTTTTGTTAGATTGAAAACCTGCAGCCACATTGGCTGTTTGCGGACATAATTGCACACCCCTGCTTTTAGCATTCTAAATAGGGATGGGCGATACCACACATTTTCTTTTCAATTCGATACCAAGTAATACCACGGTTAATATCCTGATCCCAATATCAATATTTGAAAAGGGGTAATTTTTTGTGATTTCTACAGTCCTGTAGAAAAGTAGCCATTAAAAATATCTGAAAGTCTTTGCATTAGCATTAAATAATCTCCCACATATACTTGTTTAGGGAAATAACTCCAAATGATCTTCCATTAACTTTCACTGCCATATGACGGCTGTCTGTGTCGTTGAGTGAGAAGCAGAAGGATGGGGCAGAGTAGTTCTTTTCCTCCATGTTTAATTGCTATGATCTATTTTTATTAAACCTTCTCACTGTCAGTTTAATAACAGTAGTATATGTTCAGGTTATTGCTTTTACAAAACACCTAGTATCGATATTTTCACATGAGGATCTACTGTCAAAAAGAAATGTCAGGATCAGAAGTAGCGATATTTTAGTATTGATTTGCCGATCTGTAATTCCAAAGGGATATTTTTTAAGAAAACTTTTGGAAATTTTCTTCAGAATCACATTCACTCAATTCTTATTTTGGTTTGATAAGTCATGAAGGAGAAACATTGGTAGCCCCATCTACAAAGGCCAAAAAAGCAGGGTATTCCATGGTGAGAGTAATGATGTAATCCGATTAACATATGTAAAATTGGCACGTGTATAAAAGGTATAAAAGTGTGTGTAAATGAACTGATAGTTCAGTGTCAGAATGCTAGCTGGCATGTCTTGTGGTGAGTAAACGCCTGAATTCCACCCTTTGCCTGCCTAACACTAAGTGCATCTTTTGTGTGTGTTGTATTTTCAGATCACACTCCCTCTGAGCAGTGCATCTGATAGTCGAATATATGCCCAGACTTCCCTTCAAGCCCTGTATCCCCACCACAAAAAACTGCAGGAACCAGAGAATTACACAGTGAGTTGTTTCCTTTTTTTATAATTCACTGTAATTATCTACCTGATAATTAAGACCAAATTCATTCTGATTGTTGATCCTTTATCGGTTAAATCTGTATGTTTGTCTCTCACAGGTGGCTATATCAGAGAAAATGAATTCTCTTGTGTCTGACATCAGAAAGGGAAACAGCAAAGGCAGTAATTTTCTGCTCTCCAGCTGAATTTAATTCACTACAGAACCTCAGTTTCAAAGCATCACATCTTTGCAGTTATACTCTGCTGCTAATCTAATGAGTCTGTGTCAGTGTTTGTATGCATAAAGTGTAGAATACCTTTATACTAAGAAAAAATAAACCTAATTTCTGCAGACCTGTTCCTTACTAAGCTGTTGAAAATGCACACATTCCATCATACATACATTCAGTCAGTGTTATTATAATCCAAGGAAGTGACCTAAAAGTATGTTTTTTCATATTTTCTATAGTAATTAATGATAATTGCATTGTAACTTTATTCCACAGAGTCCCACATTAAAACTCTGATGGAAAATCTATAGTTTTAATTGTTCATGCTGTGTAAGTATATGATGTTTTATTTGGATTTGGTTTGGTTTACTGAGACAAAATGAGATAACGGGAAAGGACTGAAAATAAATGGTAATAATTATAAAGCTAGTTATATTTAAGTGCTAGCTACATAGGTTACAGGTAGTTTGTTCCCGTCCGTTGCCCGGTCTGTTAGTAGCTGTTACTTCATGCAATAGCTAGGCTAGCTGCAAAAGTCTGCCTCGACGTGCTTTAGGTACAGACAAAGACATATCAGTTAGCTTTATACATATGGTAGATATGAAGGGAAAACAGTGGGAAATACGTCACTTGGGCAACAAAGTAACGAAGAAGGGGTGAAGTGAACGGCCGCATAAGGGCACGACGAGCGCCTTTGTCTGAGCTATCGACTCCTCCCGACTGGCGATGCCTCAGTGTTGCCGTGGACAACGGTTGTTCTTCCGCTCCAAATCACCTTTAGTCACACCCTTCTGCTCCGCATTTGTCAGCTTCACTGTCACTCAAATCTGTCCTTCGTATTACGATTCGGGTATTCAAATATCAATCACCATTGACGCCCTTCTATTGGCTGTACGCACGAGTGGGCTTGTCTTGGGAATTAAACCAATGCAGGGAGAGAGATCAGCAGCAGTCCTCGCACGAATGCAACAAGTGGATTTTATTATGTACGATAGTTACCACTTTATGTCGTTTTAGTACGCTATTATGAGGACAAATCAACTCCAGGTTAGGTTTATACGCTAAAATAGAGTTTGGTGAGTTCTAAATCTAAATCTAGAACTCTGGTCTTTGTTGGGTCCTGCTCGCGAATGTTCCATGTGTGAGGGGATTATGGTGAAACTCACGGATTTGCCAAAGTTTGATATGCACGCGATCTGGAGTGTCGCGTGACCTCTCATCTAAACAGGGGCGCGCGCTTGCCTTTGTTTGAGTTGTAACGGTGCAGGTCTCACTGGGCCCAGAGTAACAAGTGTTCGTTGATATAGTGGACAGGTGAGTGCCCCCGTGGGCAGGGATGTCTGACAATGCCTCTGATGAAGATGCAGCTCTTAGGGAAGAAGGAGTCTCGGGGGAATCTGTGCGAAAGGTAGGTGAATTGTCAGGGAGCCCTTTTAATGATAAATGTCAAGAAGAAATTAACCCGTTACTTTCCAGGCTTTTTATTCTGTTATTAATCCTGAGGCTCAGTATCCAAAAGCTATGGATTATCCAGCAACTACGAAATAAGGGCTGCGCAAATTAACGTTTGTTAATCGTTATCGCGATATTTGCGTTTGCAATACGGCCGTGCAGAAGTCTATACGAACGAGTCGTCTAACAGATAACTGTTATTGTACGATGTGAGAAACATAACAAAATCTCTCGGTGTTTGATGAATCAAAGCATATCATGAATACCAAGTTGTACCATATCTTAAGATGGTACACCAGCACCACAGGCACAATTAGGAATGCATTGATCATGATTTTTTCGTTGTGGATTTCTTTATAGCCTTTTTTATTTTCAATAAAAACACTGTGCAGAAGTACTGAACGTATGAAACACACAAGTACATTTCTAGTACTTTTCTATTTGTTGCAATATATAATATTGTTTGCCCTTTAATGAACCAAACTGCCATATTAAATTCAAAAATTCAATTGCCTGTTTAAATCACATGCAGTACTACAAAGTACAGAGGCAATTGGTAATTTATCGCAATGGGACATGCATAATTGTGGTATAGGTGCAACCGAAATATTTAAATACAGCGCAAGTGTGCTTACAAGGCTCATATTATTTACCAAATTGCATATGAAGAGGAATTTATGCCAAGTTGAAATGCAGTTGATACAATTGAGAAATATGAAATGCAGTGTACACGACATTACTTTTCCATAGTGACATGCGGAATATGGGCCATAATGAAAAGCAAGACCTCTGTTATTGTTTTCACGGCACCTGATCTCTTTACTGAAAAGCAGTATATGAGAATTTGAATTTGATAGCTGAAATGTTGAATTTGTGTCAGAATTAAATACAATCCTCGTTAAAATGCAATCAACCTCCAACTATATTGCATTCTACTGTGTGGTGTTTTGAACATGCTGAAATTAGATGCAGTTTACAGTATTGCCTTTGTCAGTGCAGTTACAGATGGCTGTGTGATTTTCTAAATTGATTGTTTTTTTTTAGAGAACATTGGAAAGGTGCTTGCAGTGGAGAAGACTTCTCCAGAATTTTAAAAAATGCACTGAAGTTCATTCTCAGCTTCAGGGTTCAGCAGTGCAACAGTGAGAAGAGCGCTGTCTTAACCTTGCAATAATACTAAATAACACTGCCGATTGCTGTTTTGAAATAAATGATGTGTATTGCATTGAGTTTTGGCATGTTGAAAGCACCACACAGTGTAATGCATTGTTGATGTGTATTGATTATATTTTAAGGTAGATCAGTAAAGTGATTTTTAAAACAATTGTAATAGAGGTTTTGCTTTTCATTTCACTATGGTATGTCACTATGGAAACGTAATGTCCTGTTTATTGTATCTCACTTTATTTCAAATAGGTATAAATTATTTTCTATAATTGCAACACGGAACGACCAAAAAAAAAAAAAAATTAAATGGCCGATTGGTGTTTGCATGTTTGGAGCAAAAATCTGCCAATTCCGATCTGGGCCGATTCAGATCGTGCAGGCCTAGTCAGAATATGTGATTTTGTCCATATCGTGCAACCCTGTATAAAACTTATATGAACGTTATGCATTTATAAGTGATGAGCGGAATTCTTTCAACAGTTCCTTGGAGTGAAATGTGTAGATTGTCATTAGTTTATGTTTACACTGGATATTACACTACCAAAACTTACTGGCATTTCATTAAGCATATTACGCATACATTTTATATCAGTATCTATGGGATATCATATATAAATGTTACCTGTTGAGGACATATTGGACCCATGCAAAGCCAGATGTTGATTTTTTGGGAGCCATGGATACTAAACGTCTCATTGTTGAATTCCAGATGAACTCATATTGTACATCAAACATAAAAGAGTACAGAGCATCCTCCACCTTTTTCCACCATAAATAAAGAATTTACACTGATAAAGCTCTCTTCCATTTTTGCTGATAACACGGTCACCATGCCATTATTTGCATGGCTTTATTCAGCCCTTGGCCTGAATCACTATGAGGTGTGGAATTACATCTCAATGGCACGGTTGCTTCACTAAAAGCGTGTTATTCCAAAATGTGATGAATATCAAACATGCTTTCTGTTTTTATTAACAAAACAGAAAGCTCATATATGTAATAATTATGAATGATCACATTACAGGCAAGCGTCTTTGTTTAAGGAAATTAAATTAACAAGTGTGAAATCCAAGTATAGGTCTCTGCAGGACAGAGTAGTAAACATGTCGATAGGTGACATATACAATAGAATAGGTGAATCAAAAGTTTACTTCCAGTTTCAGCATCTGCAGAGTAAAACTCACTTCAGCTCCATATAACTGCTGCAGAAAAGATAAAATGTTCTTTTAACATACCACAACTTTCAAATACTGATTTAACTTAAACTAAGCTAAAATGCTGCAGCTATGTGCAACAGGTAGCCCTGTTTACTGCTGCTGCAGCTGCTCACATTCAAGCAGTCTTTGTGTCTTTGCACAACATTGTAGCAAGTGATTTCTGTAATATGTATGGTTTTAATTTGAAAGCAGAACTTTTATATGTACCATGCATTTGATAGACTTTGTTGATATTTAGCTAGCTAGCTAACAAACTTACGCTAGCTAGAAGCCATTGCCAAAAGTAGCTATATTCCCAAGTGGCACATTTATAGCATGTCAGCAATTTCTGGATCTTTGTTAAAGGAAACCGAAACTTTTCAGAAACAGAATCGCTTTATTTCGCCGTGTATGTTACAGATACAAGCAATCTGTCTGGGTGAGTGCACACATACAGAGCGTCCAAATTCAGGCTGGATACTTCTAAAGACGCGGTCTACGAACGCATGTCCTTCGAAGGCTACTTAGACCCACGAAGGCTGAACCGAAATGAGACGGTCTGCACTACGGCGGATTTTCTGTTTGCGTCACAGCACTGAGTGTTTTACATTTGTATTGTTAGCCGTTCGCCTCAGTTTAAACCCAATACTTATATTTAAAAGTGTCTCTTCAGCCCCCGTTCGCTTCTCTGTTGATGCTACCACGTTCTCGAATCCTTGCCAGCACGCAATGAACCTCGGGATATGTTGGCTGGCGAAAGATCCCACCCGATGGATCCTTCGTTGTCATAGATATACATACCTAGATGCTGCGTTGCCTCTTGTTCTCTATCTGAGGCGATACGTCTGCGCGTCCGCCATGTTGGAGCGGTCAAGATCTGCTCGTGAACAAATTCACTTGTATTTAAAGGTGAGGAGTTCTCAGGATTAAATCGGCCACAACTTCCTTATTACTCAACCGATGTTCACCAAATTTGTTTTGTTATAATCCTCATAGTTTTGCACTCTATTCAGTATTAACAATTATACATTTAAATCTCACACAGCAGGCCAACATACATAGGATTTTAAAAAAGATTTTCTATGTAAGTCCACAGTGGGACCCAAAGTTTCCAGAATTTGTCCGTCTGGTGACGTAGATCGTAGGTCAGTTTTTCCAGGGGAAGCAGAGTTGCAGCTTGGGAAAGCCACTGCTCAATAGATGGTGAAGAGGGGCTGGCCCATCGAATTAGGATACATTTTTTTGCCAGAAATGAAAACATTAGAAACAAAAATTTGCCATCAGTATCAAAAATATATTCTGCTCCTATTCCCAAAAGATACAGGGCAGGGGATTTCTGAAATTGTGTCTGAAGGATATTTTCTACCATGATGTGTACTCTATCCCAGAAAATGCCAATTTTTTTACACTGCCAAAAGGCATGAAAAAACGTTCCTTTTTCAGTTTTACATTTAAAACACAAATTAGTTCTGTCTGGAAACATCTTCTGTAGGCGAACAGGTGTAAAGTATATCCTATTCATGAATTTAAAGTTAAGCTCGTGAACACCAGATGAGGTACACTTGGGAAACAGACCTTTACAAATATTGCACCAGTCCTCTTCTGAGATAGGTTGGTCTAAGTCCCTTTCCCAAATTCCCCTCAGAGTGTCTGACGATGGTTTAACACTCTTTAGCAAAATGCCATGAATTAGTGAAATCAATCCTCTAGTCTGGTCCTTCTTAGCTAGCAACACTTCAAGATCGGTTAATTCCTTTCTAAATCTCCCATCCTTAATGGCTGAGGTGATCAGGTGACGAATCTGAAGATATTTGAAAAAATCTGACCTAGGTAACTCATATTCTTCTTGCAATTGTGTAAACGATTTGAGCAAACTACCAGAAAACATATAAGAAATGTTTTTGATCCCTCTGTTAAGCCAAGCTGAGAGTCCAGAGTTACTCAGCTGAGAAGGTAAATCTGGGTTGTGGGCCAGAGGGGACAGTAGTGAAAGACAATGAGGAATCTTAAGATATTTCTTAACATCTGTCCAGGCCATAAGGGTATTGTGTAAAATAAAATTCTCAGAGACACACCTCACCTTTGCAGCATCATTAATAAACGGTAAGCAATCAAGAGGAATAGGGCTACATGCCCCTGTTTCCATAGAGACCCAGCGAGAATCCAACCTATTTGTACACCAGCTGATCATATGCTTTATTTGAGATGACCAATAATACAACTGCATATTAGGCACACAAGCACCACCTTCCTCCTTCGCTCTTATTAATCTAGAAAATTTAAGTCTTGGCCTTTTATTATTCCATATAAATTTTGAGAAACTTTTCTCTAGATCCTTGAAGAAAATTGTGGATAAATGGCAAGGGATTGACTGAAATAAATAGAGTAAGCGAGGGAGGATATTCATTCTTATTATGTTTACCCTGCCAAATAAGGAAATAGGGAGAAAGTTCCATAATGTAAGATCATGTTTTATATTATTAATAAGTGGAAGGTAATTTTTGTCAATAAGGTTATTAAGGTCTGGGGTGATATGAACACCCAAATATTTAAAACCCTCTAACGCTAATTGAAAGGGGGATGCAACTACCCA